AGGTTTTTTTGGTGCTGATGTTTGTTTAAGGCGATGAAATCAACGGCTGAACATTTAGCTGAAGATGAGTGGAGGATAAGACACACACCACATATCTCAACGTTTAGGACTGTGCAATGCTCAATTTAACATTGCAACATGTGCAGGCCTATGTTAGCGCGCTTTGAATGTACATAAATTGACCTTAAAATGCTGTGCGTTAGGTTGGTAGATATCTGGTTAATTGGCAAAAAAGTTAGCCAGTCGCTAAAAGTGATTCAGCAAAAAGTACTTTATGAGTCGGCGAGTTTCTAGAAGATTCCGCCTCGAGCTTCGTTACGAAACGCAAGAGAATTTGAAAGTGCTGAGCGTCCTTTTCCCCGTCGTCGCCTCGCATTTTTTAGCATCAGGACTCTTTTTTACAGGTGAGAAGTTCGAATGATTATCGCAATAGATATAATACGCGATGTTATAGGAAACATCGTGATTCGTAATCTCCGAGAAAAGATTCCTCTCCAGCCTTTCGCTTTAATGCTTGCTGCCATTTACGTAAGTGTAATTGCGAATTTCACATATACCAAATGTGAAAGAGGCAATGTATAGAAAAAGAGAGGCAATAAAACTGCTGCCATCAAGGTGTGCAAAGAAAGTTGAACCGCGATCGTTTGAGATAGATGTTTATTGCTTGATCCTATGCTGGATACTGCTCAAGTGCCAACCTTATGTGCGGAGCGTTCTGGAAAAGTTAAAATTTGATCATGGTGGAATAGAGGCATCACATGATTCGCAGCAAATTGAATGGGTCAGTCAGCGTGCCGAGCTAATCGGGGGCCGCCGATTTGATTTCTTCCACCATAAACCCGTTGTTGCATCTTGTTTGTGTATTCACAACAATGATGGATAGAGCGGGACAAGGACCTCCCCCCCTCCCCCCCCCCCCCTTCCCGCCCTCCCCTTGAGAATGAGTCGCGAAAATGTTGTGAGTAGCCTGCGCGGACAAAATGTGCAAATCACTTATTTTTAGTTCTCGAAATTTGGAAAATTAGACTAACCTTGCAAATGGTTTTCTGGGGAGTATGCTTCAGGAAATATTTGAAAAGCATTCTAAAAAATTTTTGAAAGGTTAGGGTTACATTTCTTCATTGGAACGCAATTTTGTCGCTCCCTTTTCAAATAAAATTCTTTGGACCGCTACTGCTTCGCGGTCATTGTAGAAGGCTTTCTGCAGATATGGTGCAAGATAAGAGGTGATAGCACATCTTTAGGTGCTAGAAGTGAGAGGCGTTGATATAAAAAGACATTTGGTAGAGCCTTTTGAAAGGGTAAATTACTCCTATCTTCCTGCACTAGGAGCAAATTTTTCTGTACCAATGACCAAATTCTATTACAACATTGCGGGAGGAATTTCATCCTATGTCTATTTATCTGCATGTAAGTATGTGCGTATGTTTCGAATAAGAAATTGCCTTTTTAAACCAATCTCGATCAAACTTTGCACGCTACATGAATGATCATAACGGATATCAAGCGCTACTTTTCGTCCTCTATATCGATCGATAATCTAATTCTTCAGCAACATTCAAGCTGGGAATCTGGGGCTTAAAATGAGTGTCAAGCGAACATGCTGATTAATGACCAGCGTTTAGCGGAATATCGATCGTTTTTATCAGATACTAGATGACTTTCCCGGTCCAGCCCGGGCCATTGTTCACTGGCTGTGGGGTAAATACTATAGGTTGTCAGCAAGATTATTGTACTGCTATTCCCCGGGAAACGGTCAGGAGGTACGATCGGCGCAACTTCGCGAAGCGCCGCAACGTGACTTCAACAGTACGTCATCTAGCACTCCTCTTGCTCTAAAACGTATGGCATAGATTCATGTATCTGCCCCACCCCGCAACCCTAGTCCTCCGTTGTGTCAACTCAGCACCAGAGAGTCTCATGGGGCACGGAATTTAGGCGCGGCGTTCCGCATATTTTTTTTCCTGTCGTGCAGCCCGGGTACCCCCACCCTCCTCTTCCATGTTATGAATGACTTACCCTAGGACATCCCTTCGATACCGCATCCCCGTGATCCTAAGGTGGAAATGAGATTTACCGCCCTAGCTTACATGACTGTGAGAAAATGGGTTGAGACATGATAAGCATCATTTCTTTAGGAAAACGTAAACAATTCGATAAATCGATAGAATGACCCAACGAATCGCCGTAAAAAGTAGCCTATCATCTGCGGAGGGGTCGAAGACGTATGTGTGCAAAGTTTTTGCTAAATCGGTTGAGCGGCGCGAGTTTCTGTAACGCACATAGCCTCCAAACTCACAATTTTGAGTTATATATGTACATATCGATGCTGAAACCTAGAGTAAGCACATTCATAAAATAAAATTGCATGCATCATTTTTTTTTGAATTTTGGGTTTTATAGAAATGGGTACAGCTAAAAGTTGCGCGCATGCGGATTGGGAAAACACCCTAGGGACTTCGAACTAGCATGCAGAGGATAGGAACGATGGAAGTTGCATATAGTGTACGAATTGGCTGGGTAATTGGGACAGGCGCAGGCGAAGCCAATTATGCTAGCTAGTTTCAAGTATATCTTTTTAAACTGTTTTTGATATATGACGTTGCAAATTTTGATTACGCAAGCAAAAAAACGATATCAAAAGTGATGCACTATCGCACGTTGTTACAAGTTAGCATTTTTTTGAACTGACATACCTTTTCAGATCATGCCCCATTACTTTCTGGCACTTACAATTTGGATTTATTTTATACTTCGTCGCAAAACCCGAAAGACACTATTATTTCGGAATACCGTTGCTAAACGTCCAGTGCCAAGCAATGAGACCGCCGTTTATTTCACTGCCTTGCAAAAACAATGGAATTGAGGCAATTAGCTGACAAGAATCAAGCATTCAGTCAAAGATGCAAACATGAAACTCCAACAAGTGACAGCTCTTTGCCAGATAATTTTAGTCTAGTTTTAGTTTTAATTTATAATTTTATAATTTTTATAATTTTAGTCATCCATGTTATTGAGCCTGATAGATAAATGTTTGCGATGATCGTCAATTCACAGTAGACCAAACAGAGTTTCCTGCCATTGCTGTTGATAAATTTTTGCATCAAGTGATTAGAAATTTCACATTCCACAATTCGAAGTATTGTACGATAAGTGCGATTTTCATGCTTTAGATCCCCTTTCGATTTTTCGAGTCAGCAACTCTGAAGTTTTGCTGTAGCAGGCTTAGTGTTCAGTCTAGTCTATGAGCACATAAATTTGAAAAACAATGTTGTAATAGGAGACCTAATGTGAAAACGTGACGCCTGAAATTACTAGTCGTATACTACGAATAAATGGAGCAAATAGCAATTCACCTGTATAAATGTCAGCTGCGAATCTCGACTACAAAAGCCACTGAAATTATTACTCGATACATCACAAAACTATAAGACCACGGAGATAATTTCTGGATTACTTGCTCTCTATTGCCCCAACTGATAAGCTCATTTTGTTTTAATTTATGCAAATGGTGCTCAAAAATCGGATACTTGGTGACCCTGGCTTTTCATACATGTGTTGTACAGTACGCTTTCTTCAAATGTTTCAGTTCTATGCACAACATCTACTGCGCACCTTCGAACTAACCAAAAGTTGAGGACTTTCTTTTGGGGATGGTTATGCAAGGCTGGAGTGCAATTATGAATCATTCAGTATTTTTTGAACTCGCGAGAACCTAAGACAATCAGTTTGAGCTTAGCATGAAGCTAATGTTGAATGGATGCTGTTTTGAAGTTTGTAACTAACAATGTATCAACATCCGTGTTCTCTATTACTTGAGGAAGTGCAAGCTTATTTGGCAGAAACCCCCACAATTTTCTCCAAAGACTAAACAGCAGAAATGGAGGGCAAATCTGGAATAGCTTCTATGCAGTTTATAATTCACAAATTAGCAAAAAGCCACGGTACCAGGTGTCTTTTCCTTTCTAGTTTACTCCACAGATTGCTGAGCGTGCCTTCCCGAACTAGGAGGAAAACAACTACGCTTATCTTAAAGGCAGTGGCTCGGCAAATCCTTGACCTGAAGTTTTTTCGCTTACCTGGAGTAATTTCGCGCTGATTTCGGAAATACACTTTGAAGAGCACGAAAATTCCGAAAACCAGCATTTTCCAGGGGTTCTTATTTTGAATTCGGACGAGTGGACCATTCCCCCCATGTTTAGAGACGTAGAGTCATTGATCCTCATGTATATAGCATTGCAGCCTGCCGCCTTTGACGGTGGGAGGGGGACCGCAAGCTCGTCCGAGTGCGTGTAAGAATGATTCGCAGGGGTCTAGAGGCAGTTTCCTAGGCAGAGACAGCATGTAATGCGGAAGCTCGGATGCTATTTTCTGATGTTTGGGATGCGGGCAACTTTCCATATCAAAATTTTTCGGGATGTTTGGTTTTGCCGAAGCACTGCCTTTAAGGGTCTGCGTGAAGTTAGGACCCAATAAATATTCTAACAAACCGTTTTAATTAGACCTCTCTTTGTCGAATTCGTAGCAGTGTTGTACATGAGCACCTGAACAATCTTTTGTGAGCATGTGTGTATCAGCATTGTAAAATAAACACGCTCAGACTTCGTACGCTTCCAGTACACAGATTAAGGCCCCTTTTTGAAGAGAATGTTGAACTATCGCATGTAATCACGTACAGTTTCAGAAGCTGATTCTTCTAACAATAACTTCAGAATTCTCCCAACTCCTCTCAAGATTTGAGCACTAATGTTTATTACTAGCCTGTATCGTCTTGACTTCTGCATTGTTTCTAAGTTACTCTGCACTTTTTTCTGCACAAAGGAGCATGTATGGAGCCAGGAGCTTCAAAGAAAAAACGTTCATTTTACCCCAGATAATTTGAAAAGCAGTGACTATTGCCAAGATACTCATATATTTCCAATTAAGAATATTTTTGTGCTACTGCATCATTCAACGTTATTGACGCCTATCACATGACATGTGCATAAAAATGTGTTAAGATGAAGAATGTTAGCATATGTTTGGTGCTCAGAGAGATTCCTACAAATCCCACATATCTCTCAATTGGTACTGTCAAAGCTATCAGTTCCTGCCTATCAGTCATAGCCACTGTCTTGATAGGATTTCGCTTTTATCACTTCACAGCATTTCATTGGAACGTGCAGGTAATGCAAACCTCAGCAACTTGAGCCAGAATTCAAAAATCACTTGCCCTGTCGCAAACTCCATCATATACATCCGTCTCGCATTACAGATCCTCATTTATCTACTGTTTGCTTACGGTATCATCTATAATTTGCTTACCGTAGCTATATTTGTGAGTTTGATTTGGTTGTTGTTGTTGTGTTTCATAGTTTGCCGCAGAAAACACAATAATTGATATACTAACGAGATATCCAGTCAACAAGGAGAAACAAGGGGGCGAAGCCGCTATTTTCTATTTTGGCGAAGTCATCTTGCTTTGTGGCAAATCATTTACGTTCTAGGCTTTGTACATTTATAATCTTATTGACGAAAAATCTCCTTGTTCGCTTATCTACTATGCAGCGGAATGTTCTTGGCTTAACATCCCGCTGATCACGTGCATTATCGGTTTCATCTTGATACAGGTGATTTTTTTGACTAACCTAAGAATTTCGTTTGTTCCGACATTCTCCAACTCGCTTCTCTTCTAAACCACACAAATGATCCGGGCTAAGACAAGACAACAACAATGAATTTTTACATTTGGAAACGAAAAACTGTTGCGTCGCAGAATTGATACAACCATTTGCAACAAACAAGGTTACTCTCTCTCGTGCAGTGAATGAATGCACATGAGCTAAAGTTTTTTCGTGTTTTTGATTATGAAGACGCAGAATGGAACTGTTATGTCGCGAAGTGGACAATTGCATGAAGTTACTTATTGGTCTGCAAATCAATTTATGCTAAAAATCTGAGAAATCAAACCTACAGCAATCAGCTTGAGCGGTCATTAAAGACACTCCTGTACATATATTCTAGGCTGCCTTTACTATCGAAAGACTCATAGCAACATATCGACTTGGAAATTACGAGCGAAGAGGCAAATATGTGGGGCCCATCATGGCTGTTGTAGTGGTTAGCTTCAAAAGCCACTTTGTATACATTATTCGATAGACAATTCAGGCGCTATTGTCGGCAGTATGCGCGAGATGGGGACTCGGTTCTACGGATCCAAATGAGTTGCAATTCTTCTGTGCAGCCATACCAAATTCCTCAACATCTAGAATGAGCTTAATATATATGTCTCGATGTTAATCATCGACTTGATATCGATGCTGACGTTCACATATTGTCTTCGCCACTATAAGAGAAGCCTGGATAACGGGTTAGCATTTTACAGCTTGTGCTTGAGCATGCGATGTCTGATGTTGCTAGAACGTGTATGGTAGAATAATGATTGTAACAATGATGTTTTATTGAAACAAAAACGATTGGAAGCAGATTTTACGGATATTCGTGCACGATTACTGTAATGCTTCTTTATTCCTATGTTATTCTTGCACCAGTCGTCACGTTACGATTCATTTGTGATGCTCAGCATCGCGTGGTGAGTTTCAAAGCCATTCTCATGCGAACATGAGAAAGGCATACGGAGAGGGAGCCAGTGCGAACCTCCGCGAAGCGGAGGTTCGCACTGGCTCCCTCTCCGTATGCCTTTCTCATGTTCGCATGAGAATGGCTTTGAAACTCACCACGCGATGCTGAGCATCACAAATGAATCGTAAACAGCTGTTCATTCATGAAGCATCTCCATGTAAGAGCGGTAATTTTGAGAAAAAAATCTTTGTTGCAAGGAAACAAATGCGAATTTGAACGGATCACTGAATTTACTTTAGTTTGATAATCGTCATAAGGATAATAGTCACCTTGAAACACATTTCAGTGCAAAAATCTTTTTAGTTTTTTCAAATAAAACCTTGCCAAATCGACTATCTACGCGTTCATCACTTTTTGGCGCTATTTTCGCAAAAAAGCAAACCTTTTGAGCACTTTTTGGGCTAGAATTCATGGCGGGCAGAGTCACTTGTCAGGCAAATCATAACTTTGCAAAAAGTCGAATTAGCGACCCAGTTTTGGGGGCCAAAAGGCGCATGGACCCGTTTGACGCGCAAATTTTGAGGGACCCGCTTATCGAACCGGCTCGTCCTTGTGCATGGTGGGCCTAAACGCTGGCACGGTATGTTATGCAAAATTGCAGCTCGATAGCCCGATATTATTCAGTGTTAGTGTCTTTGATGGAGTAGAAAGCAAGTCCAGGATCTGATAGCGAGAAGAGAGTATGCAGTTCTTGGTTGCAACTAGTTGCAGCTTCCTCTATGAATTTCGTGACAGACAGATTTTCACATAGACACACAGACAGACAAACAAAAAAAAACAGACGGCCTTAGCGCGTTATTATAGTAGGATACTCGATTTTCGCAGTTGTTAAGATAACAGCTGACAGTGACAGCTCCGCTCGAAACCTTTACGAAGTTTCCGTTCGAACGGCCTTGAGATTGTGGTGCGCTTCAATTTTTGCGTGAACTATAGGTGACGCTAACCTGTTTATATACTTTCTTCCTTTCTGCTCGAGAGTTCTGTGGAGTCTTGGAGTCTTTGGCCATACCGTCATATCTTACCGCCGGATAGATGGGCTCTGTCCCAGACAGCTCATTTATTTGCATCTTCTCTTGTGGTAAACGCTAATTTCTAAGTTTGATATGCATACTCTCTTCTCACTATCAGATCCTGGACTTGCTTTGTACTCCATCAAAGACACTAACAACTGAATTATTGCGAAAACGCACTCTACAACATTCTTAGTACAGCTTGCGCTTCTTTCGAAGAAATCAGCTTAGCTTCTGGCCGTGCAAATGTTATAAAAAATTCGTCAGAGTTGTTGACGCAAAGGAAAGTCTCATAGCCTTACTCTTACCTTCAATCCTGGTTTCGACCGCGGAAACTAATGTAGCGACTGCAGTCCAGTCATGACTTACACTGAGTTTCAACTCAGTTTGAGTGGATTCCGGAATGGCGGGGTCCGCTTTGCAACGGTTCGCCCCGATTCGCAGCTACAGTAAATCAAATTTTCCCAGGAATCCAGGTTTATGACATGACACGTCATCTTCAGTTTACAGTTGACAGAATTTCAGCCCTGTGAGCTCGCAGACCACCCACCGAAGAGAGTGCAGAGTGCATCTGTTTACATCGGGTTGAGTAGACGTAGCCTTTCTATTTCTTTTCATCTGTTCCACCATGAGCTAAAGAATAACGCAGGATTGTTGTTTCAGACTTTCCTAACAACAGGTTAATGCATGTTTTTAAAGATGCAGACTCTCTTCTCAAATAATTCCATCAATGATGGAAAACACAAGAACCTTACTGAATTTTGGAACGAAAACTTATATTTTAAGGAGGTTCCGTCTAGAACTACGTTATGAAATACAAGAAAATCTAAAAGTACTACGCATCCTTTTTCCTATTGCCATAACCCATTTTCTGGTGTTCGGCATCTTCATGCTAGGTAAGATCAGTAATATCACAAGAAGAATGCTAATGATTTATTAGCTTTAGGGAACGTCGTAGTACGGAGTTTCCGCGAAAAAATGCCTCTCAAGATTTTTGCTATATCAATGGCTTCAGTACATGTATGTATGCTTTATTTGGATTGATTATTCATTCCGTTTCTTTTTAGATTATGCCATATTATTTCTTAATATTATCAACTTGGATCTATGTAGTTTTACGACGGGAGTCACTAAAGGTTTTGGAATTTCGACAAGCTATAGCTCGCCCCGAACGCAACAAGGAGCGCGATGTATATTTTGACTCTCTACAGAAACAGTGGTCTGCAGTATCTTGATGATTCGCTCGGATTGGGAAGGGCACAAGAAATTCTACCATATCCTAATTTACTATATTCAATCAATTGTACCAACTCTTCTTCGACCCTTCAAACTCCGCAGTTTCAAAACAGAGCCAATTTGCCCTTCACCTATTCTCCATAGTCGTTTTTCTACTCTATTTGGTTTTTTATTCTTCTATGTCGTAATAGAAAATATTAACTCGTTACAGCGAAGAGATGCAGATGACATTGTTGTATCGTATTTGTGGTGTGACTTAAATCGGTGTCCGGAAATCGTAGGAGTGCTAAACCATTTTTATCTTTTCAGGCATTTGCGGCGTGTGAGCTAACTCTTCATTTTTGGTTCTTTGGTTAGCTGAGATTTTTTGTTTAACTGATCTCAAATACCGTTCTTGAAGGCACAATGCCGCATGTATACACTTCCCTTCTTCGAAACAACATAATGATGATCTTGTCTCTTTAGTTTCGAAGAGTATGAAAGGGATGAGCTGGATGAGGTGGATGAAGTAATGGCTTGTGCCAAGGAGATGTTGTGAAAGTAAAACTTCAAAACTTGCAAAAACAGCATCAAGGCGACTCCAATCAGTTTCCACTTGCGACCCTCATATGTCCAAATTCGTCTACAGCTGCCTTTATTTATGGGCTGATGAATATAGGAACAGCTGAGATTAAAAGCGCAAGTTTGTTGCAGATTACGATTGTGACTTCCTAGTTCTGAAGACCTAAGACGAGCAGCGTTGCTGAGGTGTAGATCCTCAATCTTGTATCAATCGTCTTTCTCCCTAGCTTTGTTTTTTGCTGCATTTAATACACTGACAATAAGAAAAGTGACTCACATGGTGACTCATGCCTTGAATAAAAGAGGATGTGATATAAACATACTCCAAGAGCTCACTTACTCCATAAATTCAACAAACTTCATTTTTTTCGATACTTCAATAGATACAGTTGAATATTTGTAGCTAAGTTCAAGTGATCCGTAAAGTGTTTGGCCCCTGGGAATAGAGTAACTCTCCATCTCGCTTAGGTATAGTCACTAGTCCGTCATGGTCTCAACGGAATGCTAAAACGTCTAAAGCCTCAAAACACTTCACTACGAGCTTTTTTAGCTTTGGAAGCCATTGAGTTCGAACAGTAGCTAGAAATCTTGAGAATCTTTCTTGAAAAAATCGAGAAGAGCACCAAGTGCTGTGCGACCTAGCGACATTTTCTGCCTCCGTCTCGTCGAAACTCGTGCGAGGACAGCTACTGCAGATTAGGTTGGTAGTGTAGATTAGGTAGTGATTCGTACACTTCCAGCACAGCGCACAGTTGGAGCTCTATACCGGAGCTGTTCCGTAACTTAGGAGTAGTAAAATACTAGGCTGATTCGAAAGTTCTGTCCGATTTCCAATTGCCTTATTCTAACGCAGCTATTTTCTTAGGGTTTTGCACTTATGGCACTGTCATAACCATCATCTGGAAGTACTTTTTTTTGCTGAATCAACCTTCCTGTGATGAAATTTCGAGCCCCGAAGCAAAGTTGCCAAAAAGCATTCATGCCCAAGAATAAGTTTTTATGAAGGGGAACTTCCGCATTATTCGCAAAACTGAATATATGATAATTTATAATGATTGAGGGTGTAATGGGCTAACATAAGCACACTTTTCCTCCGGCGTAGAGCACTATCTGAGCTGCCCAAGCGGCAGCTCAGCTAGTGCTCTAATGGCTGAGATATTCCCCTTGAAACTGGCCCCCGCAACCGTGTTTCGCATGGATTCATGGTAGTTTCCCGCCAGGATCCACGCTTTGCACCATGAATCCATGCGAAACATGGTAGCGGGTCCAGTTTCGAGGGGAATATCTCAGCCATTACAGAACTACCTGAGCTGCCGCTTGGGCAGTGCCTTAGTTAGGGCCCCAAAAGTACTTTCCACGTAAAAGCCCTATAGGTCCAGATGCCTGGACGCCGCCCTTAACACCTTGACGTGCGAGCCATTTTGGGCAAAACTTCCACTAACGTTTTTTCGCGCATTTGGCCCGTGCATATGCGCGTATGCACGAAAACATAATGTGGAAGTCATTCTGACGCTTAATCATAAAACATAAGAGCTTCGTTCAGGGGACATGTATATCACATAACAGGAGTTACACTGCTCAAGATTTTTGCATGCTTTTTCCTCCAATTAACCATGCAATGGCTATGCCTCGTGGGATCCCTCTTCGAGAAGAGCGTAATAATACCAGGTGTTTTTTGCTTTATTCATCCTTGCTTTCTTCCAAAATAGCTGCACAAAGTTTCAACCTTTTCGGAAGAAGTAATTAGCATATGTCCGTCACGTCAATAAGGGAGTGATTACCCAATTTTGCGGTTCAAACTTCTGAAAAGCTGCCGCGATGTCCTGTGTTCTATAAGACAATCAGAGCATCCAGTAGTACTAGTGCATAGAAGTTGCCTTAGAACTTTTCGCTTACACCAAAACTAGGTGCATGCGCGTGTATGGACGAAAATACTAAACGGGAGTAAGGACGTGTAGGGCATATGCACACCGTCAACGTGTTAGAGAGCTTAAAGACATAGTTTCTGAATGTAAACTATGCACTTTACTATGCTTCGTCTGCAGGATCTGCCAGGTACACGAAATAACTGTTTTCTTGTTCCTTGAAAAAGTGATTACACAATTAAAAAAGCTCTAGATATTCGCAAAGAGCTGAGTAGTAAAATCAGTTGCGTGGAAACTGTGTTTAAACACCTTCTTAAATTTCTCTTGGAAATTCTTGAAGCGGCAATAGATTTACAAGAGCGAATAATCATCTTGCTCTACGCGTAGGTCATAGGTCTTATTTGAAGCTCTATGAATGGTTCTCGCGAGACAAGAAAGAAAGTTACCAACGATTTAAGTGTGTGCCCATTTTTTGAGACAACTTATACGTTTAAAAAAGACAACTTTGACAACCAACGATTTATACAAAATGACTATTCCAATTCTAATACCTACAACTTTGTACATGTAATGGACAACAAAAAACTTGATATCATTTGTACCCTGATATTCTTACAAACATTTAGTCGACATTTGGTTGCGTTAACAAACCCACTAGGCTATAAACAATAGAGATCACGTGAGCATAGTCTCCTTCTGCTCATTTAAAACTAGATTATTGCTTGGCGTGTCCTTAGTTCGAATAAGGAATGACAAGCAGACTGGGATAATTACAATGCCATGGAATAAACCAAGCAGCGACACGAGACACACGGTTTTTGCAAATGCCACGATGATGTAAACGGGAACAAAAAACAATGGGAACATGCATATCAATGTCGACAGTGATGCCTGCAAAGGGAATTTCATCGCAACGAATTGACTTTATCAAGTGTGACGGATAGCTGTTGCTAGGTTGGTGCAAAAAAGTGAGCGTTCCTTAGGCCTAGGGCATACCTCGCGCGATTCCGGGCTGAGCGATTTGGCACAATAGCGACTCTTCGTAATTCGTCGTTAATTCGCGGCCTTTGGTCAGAACTTTCTCTGTTTGCAGCAGCTTACACAAGCTACCCAAATATGCGTCCGAGAATTGCGCATAATAATTTATAGAAATCTGGCAAATCGCCAAGTCGCTTGAAAGTGGCGATTGGGCCGAATCGCGTGAGGTATGCCTTAGGCCTTATGCGTTAACCGTAGCATAAATATCAAAAATGCATCTAGCATACCACTTAACAGAGCAAAAAAGCCCTACAAGACAACCACCAGATTGTTTAAAAACTCGTTAAAACTTGAATTTTAAGCCGACAAAAAGTGATTGATCACCATAAAAAATCGGATCTTAGCGAAAAAATCTTGGATGCCTCCCACTCAGTCACCTTATAGGCACATAATAAACTACATGATTGCAATTGCTTTCTCCTATCCTAGAAGAGAAATAAAAAAATAGATGAAGAAAACAAGCCCTTTTCATATTCCTAGAGTATTTCTTCGTTTTTTATGCGAAACGTGATTCTTTCCAGACGAAATACTTTCCGGGCGTGGACACAAAAGGAACAAGTTCATGGTTCTACTTCTAAAATTTTGTAGAGTACAAGTAGAATCATGTGTGAAAACATCACGCGACTGTGTTGCCAATTTTCGGTCATTATTTTTTTCTCGGTTTACAGCCCTTAAAGAATTACAGTGAATGCACTTAATGAATGGTTGTGTACGTGTATTACAGGAGTAGGACATTACCTGGATTTTTCTGGGCTAAAATCAAATTTAGCGCTGAATGCTTTTAGATTTTGGCCTCAAACATAAAACGGATTACGCTTTACACGGATAAGTGGTACAATGCTTAGAGCGTGCTTCGCTCTATGGAGCAAATTGCTCTTAATACATTTTTTCTAAATTTGTTCTGCTCTATAGTTGAAGGAACGCTCATGCTTTTGCATCAGTTCATTACATCATTCTAATCATTGAATCAAACACACCTCAGCCATTGGTCTTCCCACAGCTCGTAGTATTTTTGTTATTCTTTCGTCTGCCTTCAACAGTAGACCATCTCTTTGTCCAAGATGGTAATGGTAACAAACATGTGCACTAAAACGAATACTCATCAAAATGCCGTTGTTGCCATTGTTCAAATTTAATGCCTGAGCCTCAATGTAAGCGGCGTGCTCACTTTTCAGGAACTTGTTTCATGTTTTATTCAAAAAGTTGCTTCGGTTTCGTACAATGAGTTTTGGGTCAATATTAGAGACTTTCGTCAAGCTTGCAGTCAAACGCGCCGTCCACCCTAAGTAAGGGGTATTAAGCTTTTTATAGCTTACGATAATAGGGCCCTTTATCAAGTCGACACCCAAATCGCAGCGCAAGATGTAGCTTTGAAACTTTCGGAAGCGAGAAAATCATTCTGGAATAACGAAGAAAGCAGAGGACCCTTGGACGGCAGCCCTCCCCCCCTCCCCTCCAGTGATACCGCTCGTCCGTACCAACTCAGCCAGTCACCTTTTCCGAGACTCCTCGTCTTCATATTCGGAATCAGGGACCTGAGAAGGCCGCGTAACGGCAAAAACATTAGGTCGAGAATCTGGGTGGACGGTGCTTCAAGTATTACATAAGAAGTGGTAACATTGGACTCACCTGAAATCAACACTCAGTCCAATGGCCATCAAGACGTTGATCATAGTGACTGGATCAAGACTCTGGCCCCATAAAGCTAGGATTCCCAATAAAGCTGAAATTACCTCATATTAGGTGGAAGGGGAAGATTTTTGAGTACATAATAAGTTCAAGCAACTTACTAAACGATATGGACAACATCGATAGCGTGGCTATGGAGGCACCCGTCAAACTAGGTATCATGAAGGCACATGCAAGTGTCATGCAAGCGAAAGTGATTAAAACGGCCTTGATAAGTTCATCCTGTGAAAAAAAAACGCTAAATCGAGAAAAGGCTTTGGTTGCTTTTGTTAAACGAAAAATGAAGGTTTTTTTTTGAAACGCTGACCTTAACGGCGATTATGAGATCGTAAATTGTACTGTCATAGTCGAAAAGACTAGTTTGGAACTGCGGATATTCATCTATAATCTTCCTCATATGGTCAATTTTTTTAGCTCTTAGATTCCAATCCAGATCTCCTAAATAAAATGTTATAATATAAGACATATAACGTGGAAATTTCCTATTTGATTTTCAAGCATAGGGAGGTTAGTATACAGGGTGTCCCAAAAAATGTGCTTACTGTTTGATAGTCAATGGCTCCTTTGTCATGGAATCTCTCGAGGAGGTTAAGGTACCATTTTGTAGAGCTGGCCTCAACTTAGATTTGTAACATAGAGCAAGTTACCGATCTCTCTTGATTATTGTAGGATTACGGTAGGAACTTGCAGCATATGACGCGACTGTGTGATAGGCATTTCAAAAAAGTTTTCAATCAAATCTGAAAAATAGTGTAACAAAGATTTCCTATATGCTAATATTACTAAGCAACTATTTGGGCTTTCCAGAACTTTTTAAATGGCGTAATTGAGTTTTTGACGAATAATAGAAATTGATAGTGACGGTATATCTGGCAGAACAGCTTACGAGAAAAGTGTTACAGAAAAGTGTGAGTTTCATATTTGAAATGAGCGGTCCGGTTGAAGGCAGCGGCTCGGCAGATTGACAATTTTGGGATATCCATCGTTCTCGGTTCCCCTGTATGAGCTAAGTCCAAGACTGTGCTTTGCAGCTTCAAAAGATGTCAATAACCCGGCTTTCCAGACGTATAAAGCGCTATTTGGGCAGACCGCGTAAGAGTGCGATCGGTTCGTGAGTGGAGATACCGTACCCACCGTGCCGAGCCGCTGCCTTTAACCCTTGTAGAAGTTCCCAAGTTTTTGCTTCTTCTGTAAACGTAGACCTTGATAGCAAAACCCTTCGCGAAGTTCCTACCCTAATCTTACAGTAATGAAAAGAGAACGATAATTTGCTCTATATTGTAAATCTAATTGTAAGTTAAAGCCAGCTATACAAAGTATACCTCTTTCTTAAAAGAGTTCATGACAAGAAAGTTATTAACGATTAAACAATAGGCACATTCTTTGGGACACCCAGTATATAGACAGAAAATTTCCTGTAAATTTTCTTTGCGAGGAAATTTATCTGGAAAAAGGAATATTGATTGCCTCTCTTGGCTTATTCCAAGCGTGAGTTAATTATAATCAAAGCTCTTAACCTACCACGACATATGACGATGTAGTTCATCAGGGCTGAGTCTACCGTACCGCTGGAAAGTAGGATTTTTTCAATTTACACCGAAACAATTCGCAACTTACTTAGTCATGTTGTACTGCACAATATTTACATCCTTGATTTTTCTCACGCTAAGGTAAGCCGGTAGGTCATCAAGTGTAAGGGTTTCATTGTTCGCTTCTCCCCACTATAAATACCTCCGTTTAACCTATATTTTTCAGTTAAAAATAGGCTGCAAACCTCGAGAAAATCTCTGAGTAAAACTTGTGTGCGTTCAGGACCATAACAACCATCGCTGTGTTCGAGCCGACCTATCATTTCGAGAAAAGAGGATAGCTCTTGAGGTTTGGATACATTCGGCATAGCGCTGATGAAATTGATTGGCGAATACTATAAAATAAATAAAAATCTAGATTGTAGTTGGTATAATATCATAATTTTTGCAAAAAAAACATTTTTGTACTCTATTAAGTATGAACGAACCTCACTTTGCACTCGTTCAAAGTTTCTCAACGAGATAAGCAGGTCCGAATCGTAAGGGAACGTTTTTGATGGGTCAAAGGATGGATTCATATCGCTAAGGCCAATATATGCGCAGACATATAATATTGCTGTGATTGCAATAACAGAAACTCGTCCAACATTCGATGTCAGAACTTTTGTGAATTTCCCCCAGGTAACTCGTCTGAAAGTCGAATAGTGAGATCTGTAGTTCTTATAAGATTTTTCCCAGTTTATTTTTTCGCAAACCTCTTTTTCTTCTCTTTGGCTGGCTTGTGGTCCTTTGCTTGGTAGAACATAACAATAAATGGTGCAAAAATCAAAAATTCAAAAACAAAGTCGAGAAAAATAGCAAAACAAGTACAGAGGCAGAATCCACTCATCTAAACTCCAAAATGAAATCATAAACCAGTTTTCTTAAGTGTTTACAATTACCTGTGGGGTCGGAGAAAATACACCCACACCAAAGGCTACGGTATTAGTAGCTGAGGTAATGGCCATAGATGGGCCAATTTGCTGTACAACAATACGCATACGTTCCTTAACCGGATGCTTACCGTACCTCCGCCAAGCATGAAGCAGTAGAAAAGCGTCATCAACTCCTAAAATAAAAATACTATAAACATTAAGCGCAAAATTTGGAAATTATTCTGACCCACCTATTCCCATAACAAGAAATGGTGTGATACACATGATAGAATTGAAAGGAAAACCTATCCAACCAAGAATTGCAAAACAAGTTGCCGTTGCGATGGCTGGTGACCCAACAGCAGCCAAGATCAAAATTATCTGTAATTTGAATGCATATTGTCAAATCAGAGGATGAAAAAGACTGAGAACTTACCTGAGATCTAAGAATGAGATGATTGAAAGCAAATGCCATAAAAGCTACCATTAAAATTACACCAACGACGAAAAGATTTACAGTGTAAACTGTTCCACGAAGCATTTCAGCGTTAGCAACCTGTAAAATTAAAATATATCTACAACAATGAAGACATGTTATCAGTTTTTTTTATTCAGTATTTGCAATAATTTATGTGGCTTGATTTACAGATCTTGTTGAAATAATTATTTAAAAATGTCGAAGTTGCGAATACTACGGAGTTTTATCAATAATCAATTTTTGGCTTGCAGCGATGGGAAACTCTATAGAAAACAAGGAAAAATATCAAATACGACTATATGCTAGACAAATAATCTAACTTTTTTTGTTTCGGGTATTCTTATCAATTATATAATATAAAAGCGAACCACCCCGAAGATGGATCGCGAAATTTTTAGAATTTACAGCTATAAAGTGTGCCAGTTTGTTTTCACTTGTAAGTAACCAAACAGTTTTTGAAATATGCTAAATTCAAATTAACTTTATGCCGCGCCACTTTCAGATTCGGGGTCCACTAAAATTTTGAGAAGAAATCCAGAAATTATGGAGAGCGAGACTCATGTCGCTGCTCGCCCTCCTTCTCCCTCCCCGAGCAAAATTTCATGGACCAACATGTAGTAAGAAGATACAAACAAAGACTGGGCTTACCTGATCCCCGTACATTTCGAAACTAATCAAATCGCTAAAATTGTCTAGACGACTCAATCTGAATAGTTCCAACTGCAGAGCTTGCAACCGCTTTCGTTCTCTCATATTTGGCGTCTGGTTCATGTACCAAAGTGTCACAAATTCCATTTTTTCGATTGGACCTCGCTAAATCAATTAAATTCAAAATTAGGCAGATTTATCAGTGGACAAACTTACGAAAGATTCCTTGTGTTTGTTCACACCAAAAAAGTGACTGCCAATAAAGAATTTGTGCCCCATGGCCGTTCCCACGGGATATGTCAAATTTATATCCGCAAAAAAATCTGACCATGAATACGCATACTGGAAATTGTTTGTTCGACTTCTAACAACTATTCAACCTTTCAATTCGATTGACAACTTACTTTATACCAGTTGAATACATAATTTATTTCGATACCATGTAGATCATCATAGTGAATCACAGTATCGTCGACGACAACACTAACGTTATGTACATATTTGTCCAATCTTTCCACCTTAAGTGCCGATAAAAAAAATTTTGTGCGATGTGACTGCCTGACACTAAAAAATGACAAACTAGTGAGAATAATTACCTCGTTGAGAAGTTCCATGGACATATTCATGTACTTTCGACCCGTTGATCTCTTTTCTGTCACTAGTACAGCCCATATTTCAAGACCTTCGTAAGTGATATTGTAAAAATCCGCGAATCTCTGCAAACACACAAAGTCCATAGTGGAACAGAAAATAATCTATGGACAATTCAAACCATTGATCTATTCAGTCAGTTCGTGCGCATCTTCGAGAAACTCGCTTATTTTCGCAGATTGATACACGATTTTAACGCTTTTCATATCATGTATCGATTAAGGCTTGCTCAACTGATTTTAACATTTTGTGCGACCTTGAAGTCGTTTATGTAAAAGGACTAATATTTCTCAAAACTTGCTTTATTGAGCCTTTTAACAATAATTATCATAACTGTGCAAGAACAACTTGAAAGAGGAAAATAGGAAATAATAAAAACAATTAAGAATGACCAGCAATGTCTTCCATCTCATATCGGAAATATTTTTGTAGTTTGAATTTGGACAGTCAAAGAAAAGGATGAGTAAGGAGCGCAGGAGTTTGTTGTTAGAAACACACTCTTCAACACATTGACGACCATGCAGTTTAGTTGTCTGCCTTTTGGGACCAAGGCCTTTTTACGGACTAGCCCACTTTTTCAATTATAATTACGCATAGTGTCATCTACAGTAGGTCTGAAAGGCTGACAAAAAAGGTAGAGGTTGTTCTTATATTCTGTGCAAAAGAAAGTTTATGGAGTGAGCTTGTTTCAAGATAGCAGTCATTTTATTGAAATTCAAGAAAGAAGACAAGTCAAAAGGTCCAAATGCATCAGAGGAGACTCGATTACCTCATTTTTCATGAATTAGTTAGGTGCTCTGTTGTATATGTTTCAGAAGATGATGAAAACTTACGTGCGACAGTCAATATCTAATCTATTAGGTAAACAGTTGTTTCAAGTTGGTTTCTTACTAGTCACACACTTCTCAATTCTCATTAGGACAGGGTACCGTTCGATAGAGCAAAGCAAGTTCTATAAGTCGGCATAAAAGCATTCGCACCAGCTCAGCACATCACGAGTCAGAAGCCGTAACATGAGAACTTTCGGACACCCGGAAAAATTAATTTTTTTTAATATCATTGCCCAATGAAACTTACCTGATCTCAAATTCGCTTAAGCATATGTCCACATAAGACGTTCACATGTGCCGCTGCTCTGTTTGTTTCTATGCTATAAACCGAGAAAACTAAAAATTTTCAATTTTTCAAAAAAGCGACGCTGCACTGTTCTCACATAGGGTAAATATTAGTCTTCAGTCTTTCTCCCGAGTCTTTAGAGCTACGGTCACAGCTTTCCAGCCTTCTACAAGTTTGAGCTCCCGAGAAGTATTGGTTTTCACATAACATATCCTAAAAAAAGCTGAATTCGGTATTTCTCAAGAATTAGTGCTTCCAAGAAAATTAGAGCTTGCTTTGCTGTATCGAACGGCACCCTGCATTCTAATCAGAATTGAGAAGTATGTGACTTATTGCGAGAAAAACCAAATGAAAAAACTTATGAGACAACCTAATAAAATGTGTAAAAAGCGAAGGATAGATTAAACTTAGCGTAAGTTTACATTTTGCCCCAGTCAAGTTTGAAGACGTCATGTCAAGTTTGCCCTAATCACATTATCAATCTTCTAATTACGTGTGATCTTCAATTGGTTTGGTAAGGTGTAGTAATAAAAAGCAAAGTCAGCTGATTGTCATAACAGCGTACTCGTGTCGATTATGGTAAAAGTTATGATATCATGACAGGTGAAAAAAAATGAACTTCAATTCGTCATTCGCTTACACACCTTCCTTTCAAAGATATTTTTTAGAATGAAGACAAATTGTTTCAACTCTACTTCCTTTCAGCTTCTATTCAAAGTCGTAGACAACAATGAAGAAATGAAAATTAGAGCGGGAATTTTGATTTTGTAAATAAAAGGCGTCTTTGAAATTTTAAGCAAAGAAAACCTGCATGAGAGAGCGAATGAATGAACTGGAGAGTCCCTACTGCTTGAAAAATAATGGAGAGTTGCAAGAATGTCGGATGCATTTCATCTTTGAAAGGATATTGGAAGCCTTTTTGAGAAGAAGAGAGAATTGATGTGGCACAAAGGGAGAAGCATGAGATTAACAACTGAGGAAAAGAAAAACATAGAATTTCTCTTCTCTCACCTTAAACTCTTTCTCAGATCTTCCACCTTTCTCAGCAAAGCCTCTTCGCACATCGGATTCGATTTCGACAGGGTATAGGAGAAAGAAGCTGAATATTTTGGCTCATCTTTTTGTTTCGATGTAAATTTTATTATTTTCTTACCTGAACAGCGGTAAAAGCCCAGCAAAAACCACGGCCAGAGTTCGTCGAGGATGACATGATATCCAGTCGCAGAGGATTAACATACCTAATAGCATTTTGGTATATCAGTGGATTAGTGATGAGCGTGTGGCTTAAGCGCAAGAGCCAATGCAAAACAATGCATAGAGTAAACAGCTGTCGGCTGTTTTTGTACTACATCCTCTCAAATCAATGTATGAACTCTCTTTGTTTTGTAGATTTAATTGAAGTTTGATCATCCATTGAAAAGTTTGGTTTTTAAAGAGGGGGAGGGGAGATATCAGTGGTGAGCAAAAAAAGTAAAGTCAGCCTTTGAAGCTCTCTTTCGCGCTATCGATCTAGCCGGCTGCCTCTGCTCTCGGACGCTCTGACTTATTGTTTTGCAGTAATTATGAGTTATAGACCACTATAGATTGTGCAAAACCGCGGAACACATCAAACACAGAAAATGATCTCGTTTTGCTAAAGCGCACACAACCGACACTTCAAAAAATAGCTAATAATTGAAGAAAATTGTTTGAAGATAGAAATTTGAGGACTCTTCTAAACACTGTTCGACTTTCTTTGATCTTGGCATTGCGAAAAATGCGCTCTATTAGTAATTAAGCGGTTGTTGCTCATAATCACAAATTTTGAAAATAACAAAGTAGTATCATATGTCTACCGTATCACCATGGACTACGGGCATAATGTATACTAAGAAATTCGTTTCATCAGGCTGAAGCCAAATCTTCTTGTAGATTCCAGATATAGTTGTTCTAAAAGAAGTTAAAACGAAATCCCACAAATCCCGCAATTTTGGCCGGATTCCACCGCTACAACTGTAGTCATTTTTGGATCAATGGATAAAAAATTCATAGTTTCTTGGCTTTGTCAGGTACTGAGCGAATAATTATTCATCCATTTAGATTACAATCGAAAATTGTATTAATAATTCTTATGCTCTTGTTGGTTCTCTCTACAACGTTCTCTACGCTAAAACAGTCTGTCATTTGTTCACACCTTTTCCCATTCTCTCTAAAGCGAAAAAGGTTTTTGCACATCGTTAACAGCATTATTACATCACAGCATTTTCAATACTGATGAAAAATTGTAAAGAGAGAAGAACCCAGAGTCAGGTAATATTCAAAACAAATGCATAGATGGAAAAGATTAAAAAGAAGAAAATCAAATAATCGAATCTGAATTTTGAGGAACACTGTCAATTGTCCCAAAAATTTCTTTATTTAAAAAAACTGACAGCGCGACGAACGAAGGCATTGAAGCCAATTAGCAAGAGTCTTTGCTATGAGAAAAATCCAGTCCATATATGGTACTAAGAACTTGCAAGGTCTTTTGTTAGCAGAAAATTTCGGAAGGGGACAAAAGTGAAAATTTCAACTATGCTGCCATCGCTTGAAAGGCTAGACTGAAGGCAAACTCCATTTTTTATTCGAGCGATGGCATGACTGAAGAAGCATTTTTGAGAATAATTCAATATTCACCAACGCTTCTGATTCCAAAATGCTTTCGGGACCTTTTCAAATTTTTTAAGATTTGGAATGTTGCAGCAGGTTGGCAGAACAGGTTTGATAGGTACAGATCAAAATACGTTGGCAGTAAATAACTGAGTACAAAACACTAACCAAAATTCGGGTTCTATGATTCTCGAAAGTGCAATCAGTATTTCTCGAAAGCGGAATCACACGGTAAGAGAAAAATAAGGCATTTTTTCCATTCCATGAGTAGATTCGGTGTTACAAATTGCACACTTTCACAGCATTTGTTTTGCGTGGACGATCTTACTTTTATAGCCCGTCGGTGTCACATTCTGTCACATTTCACCAAACAAATTTGTTTTGATGCATTTGTTTTAGTAATGAAGTCTTGTTGTTGCTTTGGATGCAAGGAGAAAAAAGAAGAAAAAAAGGTTGCTAGTTAGATCCTACGAAGAATTTCGCACCCATGGTGTACAGAAACCTGCGAGATTGAACTCAAAAAGTTGTAAGAATGATAATGTTTATTGACCGATTGTCATCATTGGTTATTGATGGTCAATCCAAGCTATCGGCAAGGAAAGAAAGTGTTAGTAGATAGAGCTTGCTTGCCGAAACCGGCTAGATGGATGGGGGCAAAGGCAACCACAAGATGTATGTAATCACGTGGGAATGAACATAAAACAGAGTTCAATAAGTTCCCAAAGAAAAGCCGAAACGTTGCAAGAAGTGGAAAAATATTTTACCGACTGGTTTTTGGAAATAAATGAGTGAATCTGTAGAATGAACGTTGATACACTGCAGCCATAGTATAACGCAACAACATTTCTCTAGATCTTTCTTAAGAGTCTAAAGTCTCAAGATACTTTACCACCATCAGTCCAACTGAGCTATATTTGGGGAGTATTACAATCTTTATTAGTTGGGGAAATACTGAAGAAGGAACAAATGGCAAACGATTAAATTTTTCTTACTTGTATTTTGCATTATTTAGTTCTGTAACCGTATTCATCAACGAACTCTGACGGTTAAGCTTACCCTCCAGGGTCAGTTTGACCCTCAGGGTTCATTGGCCGTATTCATCAACCATAGGCTAGGGTTTACCACGGAACGCGATCTACCCGTATCGATCAACGAACCTGTGGCCGTATTCATCAACCCTGAGGGTTAAACTAACCCTGGAGGGTTAAGGCGTCAGTTACGCGTGCGCTGTGCAAACTCACATCACAGAATGCCTAAGTACGGGCTAAACTCACTTTATACTTCTATTCTTTCACTGTTATAGAAGTATAGCCAACGAATAAGCTTCTGACACTAGTTTTTATAATACATCTCTAGCATACTTGTGCAGCATCCAATCTTACAGCGTAAGTTTATTTTCATGTGTGCAATCGTACAGTGTGAGTTCTACTTTGGCGCAGTTCGTTTTATACCGGGCTTGTGCTACTCTTTTAGGGGTCAATGCGTGTTATTATAAAAGCGTTCTTCTGTTTTGGCAGTTGTCAGAGTGGAATGCCACTTTTCCTCGCCGCATTCATTTGTCACCAAAGCTAGAATTCTTTTTCTCGAGAAGTCAGTGTTTCATGTACTTCGAATATGAACATAAAACGAAGTCGAAACTAAATACTATAACAACAATCAATACTAAATACTACAATACTCGTTGATCGTTTTCCATACTGCTAGATGCGAGTAAATGTTTGTTGAAGTGTTAGGGTAGAATTAACCTTGCTCTGAGCTAGGGTTGAATTAACCCTGATGAATCACATAAGTTTAACCGTCCAGGGTTAGTTTAACCCTCACGGTTCGTTGATGAATACGGGCTAGTCGCTTTCGGGGTAAAATTAACCCTCAAGGTTATATTTAACCCTCAGGGCTAAGCCTACCCTGTGTTTCATGAATACGGGTTAAACGCTTTCCAGGGTCCCTCGGGGTTCGTTGATGAATACGGCCACTGGACATTGCATTTGATATATTTTGCCTTATTCCTTTGATTCGTTGGACAAAAGATATTCAATATAATTTTCTAAGGTTTAATTTTTCATACTCAACTATGATCAGGTATATTGTAAAAAAATCGAAGTATGTTATAGTAGAGGAGATAGTAAATTCCAAAAGAAAGGGTTTCACATGTAATCGGTTTTTTTGCATTTAGCCATTATATTTGACTCCTTATATTATATTTTTTGTAAAAATTTGAGACTTAAATTTTTTATCCACCTTCTTTCGGTAATCAGGAGCTGAATTGAAGCTGGATTGAATGCATCTTTTGATTATAAAGAATGAAAGGATGAGTTAGCGAGGGGTAGAAATGGTATGCAAGAACTGCCCTTTTATTATTATTTTTGGTTGAATACGACACGTTGGTAATTTTCAGTGTTGATTTTATTTTTACAAATTTTCGTATCCACACTAGAACTTACAATTATCAATTTTGCAAAATTTTCATTTTGTGGGGCTATATTTAGCAGATCATATAAAAGATTACATATTACATGTAATGCGGAATGTCTACATGATACAAAATGAACCAGTTTTACACAAACACTAGAGGAGTTACTGCCTCATCTAGGAGGAAATTGAAGAAGCTCGGAGAAACGAGTTTATGAGTGGTCTCAGTACTCAATGAGCTCTCACTAACACCGAGACCACTCTACTGGTACAAAACTACTCATTCTTTAGGGTGAAACATCGCCTAAGAGTATAAACCATTCAAATGTCGAACAACGAAGAGTTCGTTCATTTTCAGAGAAGAAAAATGGAAACTTTGGGGTATAAGTAAGCAGAATTTAGCGAGAAAACTTGCTTCACCAGGCATGCCCGAACAACTAATATTTCTGCTTTTTCTCCCCATGATGTTATTACTGGCTCCAGCTGTACGGTTGTGTGACTGTGACACATTTTGTAAAAGAAACAATGCAATGATTTTGCAGACAATTTGACGACAGAACTATAAAAGGAAAAAAAAAACAAAAGTAGAAAACCGCAAAAGTAAACTTGGAACAATGGGGACAAAAGTGGAAGGGGAAACGAAATTTGATTGTTCTGGTCTTAGTTAGGTGCTAAATGTTTATCAAGAAAGATATAGGGCATTTTGGCCTGAGGTTGAAAGAATTTAACTAAGGTATGCCAAAGATATATGCGACTGATTTCTTATGATCGCAAAATGGAAAAAGATTTTCATGGGCATCATTATAGGTAGGAAGTTTCTAATTATCGAATGGAAAAAGGATTTTCGTGGCATCATTATAGATAGAAAACGTCTAAAAAGTCATAAAATGGCCAAAATTCGGTTAAAGTATGTAAACAGTAGCCAAAATGATATCTGATCCTTATAATGAATGGAAAGGCATTTCTATGGGAAATATACATTGAAAACAAGGATATAATTGGGCGACAGGAGAAACCCAATAGGTCTATGAAGAATTTAGATTTGAGTCAAAATATAAGTAGCTGGGCTAAATGGCGCTAGAAAACCTGTGCATGCGTTTTTTTTTTCAAACTAAAAAACCCATACGAAATGAAAGAATAGATATCAGCGGTGATGACGGGATACAAACTCTAGATTACACTTCTTCAAATGAAAAAAAAGC